GCACCTCCCTTGTCCGCGGGTTTTATGGTGAGGTTGGGATTGGAGCAGAGGGAGCGGAGGGCTGCACGTTCTGCGGGGGAGAGGTTGGAGTGGGTGAGAGGGGTGGAGAGGTTGAGGCGATTGATGTCTCGACGGCAGTTGGAGATGAAGAGGTCGAGGGAGGGTAGGAGGCCTTGGGGTGGTGTCCAGGAGGAGGGGGTGTGTTGGAAGCGGGAGAAGGGGTCAGTAGAGGGAGGGTTAGGTTCACGGTTGAAGAAGTAAGCGTGGAGGCGGAGGCGGCGGAAAAACTGCTCTATGTCCAAGCGTGAGCGGTATTCGTTGATCTGTGGGTGGAGGGGGACAAAGGTGAGCCCTTTACTGAGGACTAACCGTTCGTCCTCAGTAAGGGGTAGGTCTGGGGGGATGGTGAAGACTCGGCAGGGCTGGGTGCTGCTGTCTCCTCTGGAGGTGCTGGCTGTGGAGGTGGAGGGCGGAGCTGTGTCGGCGTCGGCGGTGGGCGGAGTTGCGCCGGCGGTGGGCGGGGTTGCGCCGGCGGTGGGCGGAGTTGTGCCGGTGTCGGCGGTGGGCGGAGTTGCGTCCGCGTCGGTGATGGGCGGACCGGCGTCGGAGGTAGGAGGAGCGGGGTAGGCGGCGGCAGTAGCGGTGAGGGTGGTCGCGACTTCAGTGTCGGTGGCAACGGCAGCGATGGTGCTTGCTGTCCCGGAAGTGGGGAACCTGGCGGTCACGGATCTTTTGTATCATAACACAATCTCTAAGATTTGAAAAAGTGCTTTTATTTTAAAAAAAGATCAATCGAAGAAGGTGGATCGTTTGTAGACTTCAGGAATGATAATTTATTGATCACTGATTGAGAAGGAAGTAAGTGTTTGTGTTGCCCAGTTAATGAAAGTCTCATTCCTTGGTTTTGGAGTTTCTGCCAGCTAATATTGCAATGGGTGTCAGAATTGTAATATAGAAATTTATTAGAAATTTTTCCCCTGTTTGGATGTGATCTGAATGTATGTTAACATTCTTGATGAGCACAACATATTAAGTATTTTTTATTAAATATCATTTAAAAAAAATTTCTACAGCCTCATTTCAACAATTGTTTTCAATCACAGGTATCTCTCACCATGATAAGGGGGTTATGACAATCCATTAATAAAAGTGTGTTAATATTGAGTGTTTGCTGAATGAAAGCACAGTTTATAAAATTAATTCTAAAAGGACATTAAAATAGTCAAGCTCTGTGTCAGTATAATGACATGTACACAACATAATGAAATGTAACACAACTATGTAGAAGAACAAACAATACATTTCCTTCTTTACAGACTTTGAGGGCAGATTTTCTGCTCTTGGTGTGAAAATACAGCACCTGCTGCTTTGCTTAAATTCTGGTGTGTGAGGTTTCCTGTGGTTGTTGTCTGGAAGATATTGAACTGCAGGCAGGTGAGCTCTCAGCCAATACAGAGTCTGAGCTGAAAGCTTGAACTTGTGAAAAGATATTGGGAAGGAGCACAGCCACTTAAAAGTAATTAACCACTAATAAGGGTAATAATTCTGTTTCTATAACACATGTTGCAGCAATTTTCCAAAGCCTATCTTTGGGACATGAAGGACTTCAAATTATTAGTAATGTTAGATCATATGGGATTCAGGAGGAACTTGTCAGTTGGATACAAAATTGGCTTGGAGGTAGAAGACAGAGAGGGATGGTGAAGAGTTGTTTTTTTTTGGATTGGAGGCCTCTGATCAGTGCTGTTTCACATTTGTATAATGATTTGGATGAGAACATAGGAGGTATGGTTAGTATGTTTGTGAATAATACCAAGATTGGTGGTATATGGACAACGAAGAAAGTCATCTAAGATTACAAATAGATCTTGATCAATTGGGTCAATAGGCTGAGGAGTGGCATATGGAGTTTAATTTGGATAAATGTGATGTATTTATATTTTTGTAATACAAACAAGGACAACTAATGGCAAGGCCCTGGAAAGTGTTGTAGTATAGAGAGACCTAGGGGTTCAAGTATATGACTTTTTTTTTGTTTTGAAACTTGTGTCGCTGGTTGATGAGGTGGTTTAAAAAGGCATTTAGCACACTTGCCTTCACTGCTCAGACCTTTTGAGTATAGGAGTTGGGATGTCATACAAGATGTTGGTGAGACCTCTTCAGGAATATTATATCCAGTTCTGGTCACCTTCTTATAGAAAAGATATCACTAAACTAGGGAGGGTTCAGAAAAGAGTCAGCAGGATATTGCCAGGACTGAAGTGTTTGAGATATAACAACAGACTGCAAAATCTGAAATGTTTTTTCACCTGAAATGTGGGAGGTTGAGGAGGTTAAAGGTGAATGACAACAGTCTTTTCCTTAGGGTGGGGGAGCTCAAAACTAGAGGGCATACCTTTTTTAAGGTGAAGAGAAAGATTTTTAAAAAGGACACAACTGTTTTTACACTACGTAGTTCATGTGTGGAATGAACTGCTGGAGAAAATGGTGTATGCAGGTACAGTTACAACATTTAAAAGATATTTGGATAAGTTCATGAATAAGAAAGGTTTGGAGGAGTATGGGCCAAATGCAGGCAGATGAGAATAATTTAGTTTGGGAACATGGTTGGCTTGGACTGAAGGGTCTGTTTCAGTGCTGTATGACTCTGCCTCTATAATTCATGTTTGTGGGGTATTGATGGAATGATTTTTGTAATGTGATGGTAGTGACTAAATATGATTTTTTTTTTTTCTTTTTTGTTGTCTATTTTTGTTTTCATCCTCTGACCTTGATATCTGGAACCTTTTCATAAACCAAAGTGGTGTTAAAGAGGAAAAACAAAACCTTCTAAAAATGGCTGCAGTGAATACCTGGCCGCTGTTAGAGCCGTGCCTTGTGAAACTGTCAATAAACAAGAAGCTGTGCAAGTTAAATGAATAAATTCAAGAGACTGAAATCAGTCAATCAGTTCTGTATCTCCTGTTTTGATTTACCCATATGATAAATTTCATATCCTGGAGATAAAAGACTCAGCTGTAGTTTCTGTTTTCACTTCATTAAATCTTGTTTGTGCCCAACTCAGGAAGTTTAAAAAGTGAGGAGCCTGTTCACTCCTTCACCTGGTTGTAACCGTGGACAGGTTAAAATAGGCCCAAAGGGTACATTGACTTACTAACTACACAGAAGTCAACAGAATGGGAGATAACAGTTTGGTCTTTATGTTGCCCATTCTTGTAAGACCTTGCCAAGGTAAATCCACCCAACCAGGTATGTGACTACATGTGCATCCAAAAGTTGGAAAAGCATCTGCTGCACATATGCTGTTTGTTGGCCAATACCAATACCTCACAGTTCTTTTATGGCTAACTATGCATAATGCTGTAAACTTTATGACCAAAGTCTCGATGTAGTCACACTACCAAATTGTTTTGCCTATGAAAGTAATGTAATTCAACTTAATTGCATTTTTGTGAACAAAATGTTCCTGCAGTCAGAATTAAAACTCTTCCAGCTTTAAATGTAAACTTGGAGTGTAGTGACTTAGGTCTAATAAACAATCTCTAATTGGACAAGGCACTTACCTTTTGGAAGTTTAAAGCTTTGAACTGAGTTGCACAGTGTTCATATTTTGTAATCTAATAGTAATGGGCAGAATCTCTTTCCATAAAGTAGCAAAGTACAGGGAAAAAGCCCTTCAGTCTGTTGAGTCTCTAGCACTTTGCCCATAGCAGTGGCAGAGTTCTCACCAGCTGATGAGTCCGATTGTGGCCCTTTTCAGGAAGGTCAGCCACCACTCAACAATCAGGCAATGGTAAAGTCATTGGTGAGAAAAGCCGTCCTACAATTAATTCCTTACGGATGGAAAGTCCATCTAGTGAGAGCTTTTGGCCAATCAGAGGCCAGTAGCTCTTTCACTCAGCAGCTACATGGAGGCTGTGGCTTCTGTCAGAAGAATACCTTGTAGAGTTTCAGTATCATGTACGACCCAAGTCAGAAGTAAGTAATGTGATGGTGGGGTATTGCAGGTTGGGATGTTGGGGTCGGGGAGAAGCAGGTGCAAGGTGGTGTCTTTCGTGAGCATCATTCAATTTAAATCCTCCAACTTCATGCAGGACAGGGCTACTAGTTAATATGGCATGATGGCATTGCATAGACAAGAACAGGTCCACAGTGGAGATAGGCTCAGATCTCAGAAGTCATTAATGTTTGGTGAAGGTAATCCAGGCCATCCTTGACTGCAAAAGCAGTCAGTCACTGAAAGAAACCGATGTTACAGACCACCCTGAGCTACACATGCAGCCGTACACCAAATCACGCAAATAGTGATTTCTCAATCAACCTTGTGTTAGAAGTATTTTGTGGTAGTACCATAACTCTGGTCCCTTGTTGCTCTTGGAAAACGGTCTGCCAGTGGGTTAGAATAACACTTCAATGCACAGCAAAAGCTAAAAGTATGGATTTATAAATCATCCACTCGCTACAGGGCTGTAGTGAGTGATTTACTGGCTGCCACATAAGAACTCTTTGAAGGTTCTTCAGCAGAATCTTCCAAACAAGTGACTTCCACCAACTACAAGGTCAAGAGCCACCATGTGTATGGGAACATTAGCCTCCCAAACCTCTCACCATTCTGACCTGGGCACTGTTTCTTACTCTGTTTTTAAAATCCTGGAGCTTCACATATAAAGCCCTGTAAAAGTACCACTGCCAGGCAGATTGCAGAGCTTTAAGAAAGTAGCCTGGCATCATCCTGTCAAGGCAACAAGCAGTGGGTAATAAATGCTGGCATTAGTAGATCCCAATTTTTTTTTTTTTTTTGTTTTGTAAAACAAGATCCACTACTTTCATAGACGCAGCCCATTGGGTGACCTTGCTGACTTTGTGGAAAAACAAACCAAGGTCTTTCTGCAAAGAACTGCTACAACCGTGATCTATGCAATATAATGAGGACAGGACATTTAATAAGATGCAAGAAAACAGGACACCAACACTACTGAATTGGCACTCGTGACCTTGAATGAGACTCACATCCTGCCAACTCTATGCTGCGTTAAACTTCACAATGCATATTGTAGATTGTACGCAACACTGTCACTGCGTGGGTGTTGGAGGGAGTAAATATTGAAAGTGGCAGTGGGATGCTAATCAAGCAAGCTGCTTTTATCCACCTCTCAAGTTGGACTCTGTTGTTGGAGCTGCAATCATTCAGTCAAATGGAAAACATTTTAGCGCACTCCTGACTCGTGCCATGTAAATGGTAGACAGTCTTTGTGGAGTCACAGAAATATGATGGCAGCCATTCTTATTTTAAGAACGTGCTGTGCTGCTGAAAACTTGAAAGGAGTTTGTGGAGTCGGTTTCTCTGTGATTTTGGCAAGGATAGTTCTGTTCTTTCCCCATTTCATAAACATTCCCCTCATGGACTATCACTGTACAAGATAGGAAAATTATTAAGGAACTGAAGAGTAAACTAAGATTAAAATATTTAAAGGGTGTAAGGCAAATTATTACATACATGCATTAAGAATTTTTTGCAAAGTATAAAGTATATAGCCCTTAAGAAAATATATCATGAAACATTAACTATTGGCCACTTTAAATTAGCACTGCAGGCAGTTTTAATTAACATTTTTTTTTGGGAACCAAAGTGTTTCTGGGCAGGTCCTCTGCCCAATCTGCAAACCAAAGGAACTATATATCCTCCCTAGCTTACTGGGTGTGAGCGTAACCAGGCTCTCACTCAAAAAATGCAACAGTGAAATGCAGAAGGTGATTACCCACGTGACTTGCAAAATTTTAAGCCAATCGATTATTCTCTCTTGATTTGCCGAATTCCACTGAACCCAGCCAGTCTTTCTGGAAGTTGAACCATCTTGCTGTCCAAACCAAAAAACAGTCTGTTTTCTGTTGGCTTTGACATTGCAACTTATGTGGTTAAGCAATCTGAGAAATAATGTGCCCAGAACTATTTGCTTTCCAAACTGCACTGCCTCAGTTTTATTGCTGCTAACCTTTTTCATTGTTGACAGTAATGGTAAGTATTGCTGACTATTCATCCATGTAAAGCATCAAAGCCAAGTCACATTCAAGCACCAGAAACGTCTATAAATGATTCTTTTCCCCATTAAAGTTATTGGGAAGTGATCAGCAACTGAACCCTGCTTGTTTAGATTGTCACCTGCCTCTCACCTTACAGCACAGAAGCCAATTCAACTCCTTTTAAGTTACTCTTAACTACATTGACTAACTCACCACCAAATTGGAGCTTCCTCATTTGAAAGGCTTATCTCTACAGCGTGCTTGCCAATTCAGGAGGGACTTGATGCTCTGACTTTACCCAGGCTCAGATATAACAACTCAAAATCCATGCCTGGAGGCTATATGGATAGCTCCTCTTTATATCTGGTGTCAACAAGATGCAGCCAAGTACAAATCCTGAAATTCTCTCCTTGAGGGCATTGTTGGTCTACCTACAATACATGGATTGCAGTGGCTCAAAAAGGCAGCTCACCACCGTATTCGCATGGGCAACAAGACACGGACAATGAGTGCTGGATAGCCAGTACAGTCTATGTTCCATGAGTGAGTAAATAAAATAAAGAGTATGCAAGACTTATGAAATTGTTATCAGCATTCAGTGGTTGCCAAGGCCACAGAAATAGCTGAAAAATTCATTTTGAAGTGAAAGCAGACAAGAAATATAGACAGCATTGTTTAACATTTTTATTACAATCTGTCAATAGAATGGCCAACACAGTTACTACAGTAAAAATACAAAGGGCAGCTGAGAGTTATAGAAGCAAAGTTTTGATTTGGCAGCTAAAGACACAGTTATACATTAGAAGGTCTTTTCTATGCTTTTGGAAAACTGCATTTATTGTCTTAAAAACTGCAGTCATTGTTTATTTCATTGTATCAATTCAGAAAATGTCTCAAAGTTGTTGAAAGCACCATTTATCCTATCTTTTTAAAACTGGGTAGTCATAACTCTATTTACTGTTGGCATCACTCAGTGAAGATTTATTCCAGTCAACGTTGTAGCAGAGTCAAAATGATACTGAATTTCATGTTGTTTTGCTTGTCTACAAATTTTGTAAATACTATATATGAAATAAAACAAAGAACTATAGATGCTGGAAATCTAAAACAAAAACAGAAATTGCTGGACAAACTCAGTAGGTCTGGCAGCATCAGTGCAGAAAAAGCAGAGTTAGTGTTTGAAGACCAGTGAGCCTTCTCCAGAATGGATAGCAGCTATATAAGCTGTAATAAAAGGTGCTACATAAGCTGAAGATGGGGGTATGAGAGTTTGGAGGAGTGGAAGAAGTGAGAAGTAGGTGGAAATGGAGCCCAGAGAGAGAAAGAACTATATAAAGTTATACAGACAAAAGGAACGAATGATAGTTTGCCAAGCAGACTATCAATGGAGTGCAATGAAGGTTTACCAAGCTGATTCTGGGGATGGCAGGTCTGAAATATGAGGAGAGATGGACTAGGTTGGGATTGTTTTCACTAGAGTTCAGACGAAGGAGGGGGGATCTCATAAAGACTTATAAAATTCTAACAGGACTGGACAGTGTAGATGCAGGGAGGATGTTCCCGATGGTGGGTGTGTCCAGAACCAGGGGTCACAGTATGAGGATTCAGGGTAGGCGATTTAGCACGGAGATGAGGAGACATTTCTTCACCCAAAGAGTGGTGAGCCTGTGGAATTCATTACCACAGGAAGTAGTTGATGCCAAAACATTGAATGTATTCAAGAGGCAGCTAGATGTAGCACTTTGGGGTGACTGGAATCAAAGGTTATGGGGAGAAAGCAGGATTAGGCTATTGAGTTGGATGATCAGCCATGATCGTGAAGAATGGCAGAGCAGGCTCGAAGGGCCAAATGGCCTCTTCCTGCTCCTATCTTCTATGTTTCTATGTTAAAAGCTAATAATGGGGACCATGAAAAGGTGAAAATGCGTTGGCTGTGCTAAAAGCATGTGTGTGAAGTGCAGGTAGATCACACCAGGAAGGTGTGTCT